GAGTACCACTTGTTCTCTCATACAACCCTAGTAAGGAGAAATGTTGACGGCGAGAATTTATGAAATCAGGAAAAACTACAAATCCCAAACAGAGAAAATAAAATATATAGCAGTGGATGGGGGGGATTGAAGAGGCAAATTCAAACAGAGCAACGGCTGGTCTAACCCCTTCCGTAAGCTAAGGCTGAGCCAAATCAACTCCCATACCCCCACATCAGCTTCTCATTGTTATAAATAGTTTTAAGTATTCATAGGGGTATCAATAAGTTTACAAGCTAAAAGATCAGTTTCTTCATGAATAATAATATCATATCTCCTCTTAGAGGGATATATTCCATTTTGTCTACAAATAAATTCAACTCCAAGAAAATAAAGTCTTTCTTGTTAATAAAATATCTTTTTAAATAATGGTTTGCTTCAAAATGTCTTTTTGTCATTTCTAGTAAATGCTATCAACATGAAAATGGATGATGTATGCCTAATGAAAATGGACTGATCTGTGGTGGTAGTGCGAAGGATTTTTAAAACAAGTTTTAGGCTCTGTTTAAGTTCATAAATAATCTTCTCGGGTAAATGTATGTATCTTTCTCTTCGAGCTTCAGCGTTATGTGGCACTCCATAGAAAGATGTCTCAATAAGATTATGATAGAGGTAATGATTAGAGCTGTAAACGAGCCGAGCTTGAGCGAGCTTAGGCTTGGCTCGTGTTCGGCTCGTTTGAAATAGCTCGTGTTTGAAATTGGCTCGTTAACAGTGTGTTCGTGTTCAACTCGATTTAAATATTCGTATTCGTGTTCGGCTCGAAATTGGTTCGTTAAACTTAAATTGAGAAAAATAGATATAAAGTGTGGGATTCGAACCTGGATCAAATATATATATAAAAGAAGACACTAACCACATTGTCACATGAGGTGTTATGATTTAAACTTACACATAAATATATATACTATATTGTTATATAAATAATATATTTAATATATTGTTATATAAAAAACTTATATAATTTTTTTATTTCGAGCTAAAACGAGCCGAACACGAGCGAACAAAAAGTTGTTCGTGTTCGGCTCATTTATAATTCGAGCTTTAAAAATTTTTTCGTGTTCGGCTCGTCTACTTAACGAGCAGGACACCAGCTGTACGCAAATAACACGTAAACTTACACATAAATATATATACTATATTGTTATATAAATAATATATTTAATATATTGTTATATAAAAAACTTATATAATTTTTTTATTTCGAGCTAAAACGAGCCGAACACGAGCGAACAAAAAGTTGTTCGTGTTCGGCTCATTTATAATTTGAGCTTTAAAAATTTGTTCGTGTTCGACTCGTATACTTAATGAACGAGCCGAACACGAGCTACTTAACGAGCCGAACATGAGTTGTTTGCGAACAACGAGCTTTTTTGACAGCCCTAGTAATGATTAATAAATTAGGCATATCGATTGTTAGCGTAAATCATTCTTTATTGATAATCACATTTTAAAGAATCATGACAAAGTTATGCTTAATAGTCGACGGGAATATTACAGAATAGTCGCTCATAGACCTGTACAAATCCAGTTGACAATCAATTGAGCTTGTTAACAATTGATTGAGCTATCAGGGTGAAATTCTAACACTAAATACTAACAAGTAATTGACAAATTGTAGCAACCTAACTTTCATAGTCTTCTTAAGAGAGTAACAAGTTTTAAGGCAAAAATGCGAGGAATTGGCAGGGCTTGCCCAATTGTGAAAGCATGCTAAGCGGTAGAGGGTTACTTATCGTTTCTTAACAACATTTAGGATTATGATTGGTTATATTGCAATGACTTGATACCACGACCAACGTCAATTTGGTCATTATGTTTATGACTTTCCTGACTACCTTTAGAAATTGACCAATATAGATTGAAGAATGTAATGATAAACACATCTGCGTAGTGTGGAAACACGTGTGCTACATCCAAGTAGTTAGTGCATGGTTAGGAGGTGTATGCACGTGTATATGTTTGGGCAAACATGGGCTAGGGCATTTGCAGACATTTGGGACCATGGATAAGCAAGCCGAAGAAATGGTGAATGACTTCATGAGTGTGGGCATGGGCACATGGAAGTGCTTAAAAATTCAAATATTGACGAGCTAGTGTAATAAAGGGCTTGCAAATGTGGTGAAAATCGGAATGTGGTTGCAGGAGCGATATTAGGATTTTTAGAGAAAGAATTGAGGGTTTTGGAGAAAGGAGAGAGAAAGGGGGGCTACGTGTAGGTTTAAGCCCAGCCTAATATCATTTTGGAGAAGAAACATCTTTCTTATATATTATTCATGTGATGATCTCTCTATTATAAATAGATCAACAAACACAATGTATTAATGTACAACTAAATAAATATTTTATAATCTTTAAATATAGAATAATTCAAATTTGATATTCTTCAATGCTAACAATGTGAAGGACATCAAATTCTTGCAAGCTACTCTTAAAGGCTTTAGTGCTTTTTGTCGGTGACCATTTGAGAAGTAGATAACAAGTAGGGATATTATATCTTATCTTGGAAACAGAGAAGTGGAAAAATAAAGGTGATGGTATTATGACCTAATAATAAAATATTATATGATATACTTTGTCTTGTTTGCAATTTGTGTCTTATGTTGCCTTGGTGTTGGTCAGAAGAAAAGAGGGGACTAGAAGAAAGAGAAACCAAGAAAAATAATACTTCGAGTTTTTCTTGTACTTACCTTCTTACTGCCATCACTCTGTCCAACCATAGACATACATATAACATTATTTTAATTGAGTCCTATAAATCTTGGTATTCTATGATTTTATTATTATTATTTTGTGGTTATCATATTTTGCTTCTGGAGGAGCTCCCACATAAAATTTAGTCACTTTTTCTAAGTATTACAGTCTATTGCTGGGTATAATAACTATGATTTTTGGGATAGAGAAATTTTATTGCTTGTTAAGTTTTAGGCTTTGGAGAACTAATATTTGTTTTGTTTTAATTCACCAAGGATTTTTGTAAGCACTTATGGATGTTGAAAAATGCTTGAGATCATGAGTGAAGAAGATAAGATAAAAATAAATGACAAAGCCTAAAAAAATTTAGGTGGATTAAGTCTTGATCGATGATTTAGAGTACATGATCTGGAATGTTAGTTATTATTATTTTTTGTTAGTATCATATTTTGCTTCTGGACGAGCTACCATATAAAATTTGGTTACTTTTTTTCTAGTATTACAGCCTATTGCTGAGTACATTAACTATGATGTTCGAGATAGATAAATTTTATTGCTTGTTAAGTTTCAGGCTTTGGAGAACTTAGATGTGTGGTGTTTTAATTCAACAATGATTTTTGTAAGCACTTATAGGCGTGCAAATATGCTTGAGATAATGATTGAAGAAGATGAGATTTAAAAAAAAATGAAAAAGCTCTAAAAAAATTTAGTTATATTTGGTGGATATAGTCTTGATGGAGGATTTAGAGTACATGATCTTGAAGGGGTTGTAGTTATACATGACAAAACACCTCTCCAATGAGCCATATCAAAAGAATAGATTATTTGCTTTGCAAGTAGGAAGTTATTTGCTTAGGATAGATAGATGTACCTATAAAACTGTTTCTTAATGTTTAATTCTATCGCCAAGGATCTAATAAATATTGATGTGATAATTGATTGTATGAATCAACCTTTATTACTATTTTGTTGCTTCTTCCTGAAAAACATATATGTGAATGAGGGATACTATCAACTTTGTTGATGTCAAGAGTTAGTTTCTTTCTATAAAAGTAATGCTAAGCCTGTGGATATGGGAGATGCAAAAATAGCCAAGTAGTCTTTTAGTTAGGGGAGATCTTTTGAGAAGGTTTCTATCTCTAATAATCTGAAAAATCAGTCTCTGGAAAAATGTAAGGATGTTATTTGCTACTATTGTAAGGAAAAAAAAAGGCTTATCAAGAGGATATTTTCATGATTTGAGCTTTTTGTAAGAGTATGAATCCGTAGATGCTAATGTTGTTTGTACATTAATCGGGTTATGATACAAGTAATGCACTTCTGTCGATTCATGAGGATAGACGTACAAGTCAATGGGTTTCAGATTTAGGTTGCTTATTTCATTAGAAGATTTTTCAGCATGAGTTACGTTTTGGTAGTATGTTTATGATAGAGATAATTCAATATGCAAGATGTTTAGTTCTAACATTGTGAAGTTGTGTACATATGATGATGACTAGAAAATTAGATGGGGTTACGCTCTCACTAGATCTTAAAAAAATAAAAATATGTTATATTTAAGTAATGTTAGTAAAGTTGTCTCAAAGCTTTGCAAGCGCGCATGAATATTATTATGAAGGCAATGAGAGCTGGTGAACATTATGTGCTACAATTTGAAACTTCGAGTGGAGTTATTTCGGTTGTATTATTTGTTTTCAAGCATCATGAGTTGGGGAAGCATAAAAGGTTAGCTTATTTAATTTAATGTTAGGTTTCATAATAAAATATGTCATGTATTGCATAATCTACCTCAATGTGTGGTCGTGCCATTGCAATATTCAGAGTGAGTAGACAACTATTTTGGGGGTATGAGTGTTCCAAGTTCACTCAGGTTTGTTAAGGTCATTGCTAAAATAGTTTATATGTTAAGTTAAAAAAAAGGGTTATGCGATATTTAGTCTTTAGGAGTTTTGGGAGTTTAAAATACTTTTATGGGTGCCAGCCACACAGCATTTAGCCTCTCCTTTTAGCACACATAAACTTGGGAGGCGCTTTGTGGTTCATGTTCACCCCTAAAAATGCTTTAACATAAACTAAGTTATTTTTTCCCACATTTATAACTCATTTTTAATTAGAAGGTAAGTATGGTTGCATGTCGTAATTGTGTGAACGTTTTTTTTAGTAATAGAAGTACAGCTTTTGTGAGCTTTTGGGAGTTTTGGGTAGGATTTAAAATGTAATTTTCAATGCTTCTTACACGATGTTCTATTATCTGGTCTCCATTGCAGCACTATGGTATGGAGATTATTTCTAAGGAGCTTCAGCTTGATGAGACACACAAAGATGTACTACGACTATATCTAGCCATATACAAAAGCTTCGTTGAGGTGATATTCATAAAGATTTTAATATAAAATTTTCTGCAAAATATTTTCTCACAATTACCCTTTCTTAATTGTTGGTACTACTATAATACTAGATCCGAATGTGTTATAATTTTTTATGTAAATCAACACTACACATATGGAGAACCTTGAGAAGGAAATGTATTACTTGTGGTAACCAGTAAATGAAAAACATGCTTTACATAAATACATTGAATCATTTTGCTGCTATTTATGGCTTTTATTTAATACTTATATGTAGGTAGCTCATAATTAAAGTTATTTTTATATGTCAAGGCCATTGATGCGATCGATAATGGAATAAATCGGTACGACACGGATCAACCCCCACGATATGTGAACAACACACATTTATCTGCAAGAGTTGGTCGCCTGAACTTGGATTGGATGGATGCTGATCAATCATCCGAGAGTGAAAATGCTGCCTTTGAGCAGGCAATGATACTTGCGGGCAACGAGTTTTTGGAGGTTTTGATTGCTCTATTAGTCTAATGCTGCCTGTTTTTATTAGGGGCATTTACATACATACCCCCTAATTCTTATGTATTTACATATCTAGCACCTAAATACTCATATTTACATGCATACCACTCAAATCTTAAACTTTATATCAAAAATACCTCCATCACTACCTTTTTAAAAGTGAAATACACTTATTCATGCGTATAGGTTTACGACACTAAAGTTCTGTGAGTGCAAATATCAAATTTTGGGTGTTAGATATGTTAATACATAAGAATAGTGTGGTATGTATTTAAATTTTTCTTTTTATTATTTATGATCTTAGTTGCTGTTTTGTGAGGGGTGTACGGAGCGTGAGAGAGGATTTGGTGATGAAATTCTATCTAATCCTGCTCCCAACTACACAGCCCCTTAGTGTAAAGCTTCCAGTTAATTCTAGTTCAGCAAGTTTATCAAGTTGACTAGAATCTTTATTCTTGATATGATTTTAGAGTGTTCGCTTTCATGCAAATTCATGGTTACCAGCACGATCCATTGTTATTGGATGCATCGAGTCCAGAAGAGAGATTGATCCAAGTGGAGAAATTATTGTCCTCAGCAGGTTTTGCCCTGTAAGTATGCCAAGTACCATTTCATTTAATAATCATAATTTATTTTTTACATTAGTACTTGATCCTCTATTTAGAATATAAATCCTAGAAGATATGACCAATAGAAAAATTGTATCAAGAAACATAATAACAAATGATCATATAACTGTTCTCGATTAAAATGAAGACCAAATAAAATAAATGCAATAATAATCTAAGTATCCAGCTGAATTGCTATGGCACGAAAAATAATTATGCTTGTCCTACTTAATTCTTTCCGAAGTGCAAAGAATTCTATTCTGGAGAGTTTGAATATTGCTGGAGGAAAATCAAAAGGTCTTTTACTGTACTGCTAATGTGATGAAATCTATCATGAAGAACAGATGAAATGTATGCATGCCAAAGAAAAAATAAATGGATCACTTTCTCAAAAGAGAGATGAAGGGGATAAAATTACTATTTATATTACATATCCATGAAGGTGTATTATTGTATATATTTTTAAATTTATTATATATGAAATATTACTGAAAGTGAAGCATGCAAAAATTGTTGATCAAGCTACATCAGTTTCAAACAATTCAATTCTAAAGTCGAACTGCTTGTTTGATAGGGGAGCCATATACCTTTATTCATTTTTCTCTTTTTTTTTTCTACCTTATGGGTGGACTTAATATTTTATGGAGAAGTTCAGAGATAATAAGCAAGATCTACATTTGATTTTTATTGATTTAGAAAATGCTTACGATAAGGTTCTAAGACATATCCTTTGGGGAGTTCTTGAGAAGAAAGGTGTTGATATGACTTATATTCAAGTCATTAAAGATATGTATACTAGAGTTGTTACTTGTGTTTAAATTGAAGGAGGATTGACCAAAAATTTTCTTATTTCTGTTGGATTACATCAGGGATCGACTTTAAGCCCATGTCTTTTTGCTTTAGTTATGCATGGGCGTACTGGACATCTACAGGAGGATGTACCTTGGTGTATGCTTTTTGCTGATGATATCCTTCTCGTGGAGAAAAAAAGAGAAAAAGCCCAGGAAAAACTTGAAATATGGAGGTCTACATTGGAGTCTAAAGGCCTTCATTTAAGTAGAACTAAAACTGAATACATGGAATATAATTTTAGTAGTAGTAGCTCTAGTGACAGAAGTGTGACTTTGGGTGATCAAATTATTAAAAGGTGTGAACGATTTAGATATCTTGGGGTCCGTTGTTCAAAACGATGGTGATATAGATAGGGATGTTAATAGTACAATTCAAGTTGGTTGGTTGAAGTGGAGAAATGTTTCGGGCCTTTTGTGTGATAGAAAAGTACCGCTTAGACTGAAAGGCAAATTTTATAAGACGGTGGTGAGACCTGTAATGCTCTATGGCGCTGAATGTTGGCCTTTAAAAGAGAAGCATAATAATAAGTTAAGTGTTGTAGAGATGAGAATGATTAGGTGGATGAGTGGCTTTACACTTAGAGACAAAAATGAATATATCCGTGATAGGTTTGGTGTAGCTCCTGTGACGCACAAAATTAGAGAAAGTCGTCTTAGATGGTTTGGTCACATTAAACGTCGACCATCTGATGATCCGATTAGGAGAGTAGATGTTTTAAATTCGACTTGTGTTAAGAAAGGCAATGGTAGACCTAGTAAGACTTGGGCTTATTGTATAAAAAATGATCTTAATTTATTAGAACCAGATGAAAATATGACACTAAATAGGACACAATGGAGAAAAAGGATTCATGCAGCCGACCCCACGTAGTGGGATTAAGGCTTTGTTGTTGTATGGGTGGACTTAATATTTATAGGTTAAGATTAGTTAGCATTATAATTTGTTTATGGATTAGTTTCAGATGATAGCAAACAAGAGAAAGTGTTAGGTTTGGGGATAGAGCAGAGTGGGAGGTTGGGATTGAGTTGCTAGGTTTTAGTTTATGGGGTGATGGTGGATAAAAATGATGAGATAGAAATTGGGGTGTAGCTTAGGTTCTTTTCTCAAAAATGCAGACTAAAATTATCATACAGAGAGAGGGTGAATGGCCAATTAGAGTGGATATGGGGTTATATGATTTATGTCTGTAGGGATAAGACTAACATTATGTTGAATTTAAGTTGAGTACTAATTTTAAAAGCGCTTTTTTCTAAGAGATTTTGGAGGACTTTTTGAAGGGATGGGAGGTTTGATAATGGCGAATATGATGGAAAAAAAGAAGATAGGGCTTAGGTTTAGTAGATAGAAGGCAGAATGGAAACCTTCTGAAGCAATGTGGAGTGTATGCCTCTAGAATCATAATATAATAGTCATAAAGGATCAAGTGACTATCAAACAAAATTAAAAATACTCAATTTTGAGGGAAAAAAAAAGAGATAAATAGTAAATTTTGAAGAGGGATTTGGAAGATCATGGTGTGTTGGATATCTTAGGATTTGCTTGGATGTGGTTTAGATGGTTAATTATCAGTCATAAAGGATCTTCGAAAGAGAATACATCTATTATGGTGCACAACAACTTAAAATCAACAATCAAAAGCACAAAAAATTAAGAATTTTATTGATTTCTTGAAATAGATGCTTGTTACAACAGAAATTATTTTCTTATGGAGTTGTTATTGATGATTTTTAGAATGATGTTGAGCTCTAATCGCAGTTCATGTAGATTGATATGATAAGAGAGTTGCGGAAGCCTTGAATAATTGAAAAAGAAGAAAGAAGAATTGAGAAGAGCAAGAAGAAGCATGCCAAGTTTCATATCATTCAATCATCATGGTTCACGTCTACATAACCTCTTTGAGTTTATATTTATTATAATTCCTATAGGATTACACCAATAATCAAAATTAAGTGGAACAACCAACAAATTACTAAAATAAAAATTAGTAATTTGTTGACAACATTAGCTTGATTCATATACACTAAAATTCCACTTATAATTTGTTGGGGGACTTGTCGTTTCACAATCACACACTTCACCCTCTTAACATTTTATTCATACTCCTACATCACTTGGAACACTTGCTTAGGATGCTCAACACGCTTCTTTAGTGCTTGGATATATACCTCAATCCATCAAGATAAGCCAAGGAATGAAACTAAACAAATTGTTAATGCATTGCTCAAGCTAAACCAAGGAATTGATGAAAACTATAATTGTTACTACACTTGAATGCTAATTTCATGTAAAACACTCATTGACAATAAATTTCAAGGATGTGCGTGCAATCGATAGAACGCATAATCAATGTGCTGATCTTATCAATGAAATATCTAAATAACAAAATCATTGTTATCTAAAATAATTTCTTGATGGATTTTTTGCTCTACCACTGGCTAGTACACACCTCTTGCCCCATGCTTTGCAAATCATCCATACTTCTTGTAGTTGGCAATCTTGAACCACTAGTTTCTCTTTATTGCATAAAAAACCAGTTTCTTCAGGACATCCTCAAAGATGGATAGGCCAATAATACTAGTGTTCTCATCTTTGTGCCCATGATCTAAAAGTTCACGGACATTAGTCCCCCAGATTTATTTTTCTTCTTCATTTTTACCAATCTAATTATCTACACATTAACCAAACCACATCTCTCCTCTTGCTCTTTTTTATCAAACTAAGCTGGGCTCTTGCAGTTCTTGTGTTGACATTCAAATAAAAGGCACTTTAAGGGTAGATGATCTCTCTTGTCATCCACAATTTTTTAGTCGTTAATCCCGTTGTTGCTTGTGGTTGATGACTTCCCACCGCTCAAGAATGAATTCACAACTTAGATTTAAATTTGAACCTTTGACTTAATTCAAATAGCTCTTTCATATATATGTGTTATAGTTCAAGCTAACACACATCTTGAGCACATGTATTAACTGGAGGAGTGCTACCGTATTATTTGTGGATGGGATCAAAGCTAACGTTGACGGGGCTCTCCTCCAATGATGCTTGGCTCGCATTGGGGTGGCTAATTGTGAGGATTGAGGAGAAGGTGTGACTCATGATGGAAATAGGGCAAAGCTCACAACATTGGGATAACATCAAATGAATACATGGGCCAAAGCTCATTATGGAAATAGGACAAGCTCGCAACATTTGGACAGCACCGAGTGAAACTTGCTGCCATTCACTCTATCAAAAAAACCATAGAACTATGGATGTTTGAACATAAATGCATAATTATTGAAGATGACTATATGAATATTGCATGTTATAGACTTTCTCTGCTGAATTATGGAGCAAAACACTTGGAGAACTCAACCCAACATTGGACCAGATTATCACATTTTTATCTCAATTTCGACGGGTACTCTTTCATTTTATGCCAAGAGAATATAACAATGCAATCAATTTTTGTGCTAAACTTGCTTTACATTGCTCTTTTGTTTAGAAATAGAATGAGATCCCCTTTTTTTAATATTTTTAAGCAAAACTGTCCACACCGTAAATGCCTAGATACATATTTTTTTATTTTTTTATTTTTTGCATTTTGATACAAAATGAAAGTTTCAAGATGGGATCTAAAGTAGTGGAGCATAACAACTTCTTGGATTGGGAAATTTGTAGGAAGACTCCAAAATTTTGATAGAATTTCTTAAAAGTCCCTAAAATTTATAGAAAATGTATCCATATTGCAAGAAAATTTATAAAATTATAAGAAAATGTGTGTGCAAGAGAGAGTGTGAGGAAGAAATTTCCGCAATGAAAATTCTAGAAAACATTAAAGTGCCACCCAAATATTGAAGTTTATTTTAACGCATGTTATCTTAATTTTCTTTTGTTAAAAAATTCTGAAATTTCTTATATTCACACTACTCCCCCAAGGCAGAGTTGACACAAATCAAAGCCATTTTTGTCAAAATCTTAGCTAATTTATTTTGTCAAGGACTTGTACTATTTTGGTCAAGGTTTATTAAGCTAAGTTGTGTCTCTTAGATTATTTCTATTAAAAAAAAATACTAGAAGTCTCTAGCATTATTAGAGGGATACTACCATCTCTCGTGAAGTGGCCCAAATGTACAAGACAAATACTCATGGCCTTCTTTTCCCTCACTGTTGATGGTTATGCTTATTTAGGATTATAATTGATATGGAAATCCCATAAGCACTCATTCAACATGAAGGAACTGCCCTCTAATTCATAGGATAAATTTTCAAGGTGTTTACTTCCTTGCCTACCTTGGTGGCGAGCATGGCTATTAAAGATCATAATGCACAAAGGAAGCATTCAAACTCAGAAGGAGAGTTTCCAAGGCTCTACCTTCACGATGATGGAGGTTGCGATCAAGAAATTAGAATTGAAGGGCATTATTTCGTCGAGATCAAGCATGAGCCCCCTTTCAAATATAATAAATGACTCAAAGCCATTGTTCCTTGATGTTCTATGTAATTTCTCAAGATTATAATCAAGAAAAATTGCCAATTAAATATAAAAAATGCCCAAAAATCTAAATGATGCATGCTTTTAGGGCTTCACATCCCCCAATGATGATCGTAGCCACTGATGGTTCTCTAAATAGAAGTGGCAAAGTAGCAATCCACACCACTTTTTTAAATTAAAAATCAAGATCAAAAGGATGAAGCGACATTACTATGTCAATGCCATTGAAGAATTGCGTTCCTTACATCTAAGAAGTGATACATCTAGAGAGATCTGGGTGCATTATTGAAGATGAAAATTGAAGGTATCACCACCATCTCCATAGTCCTCATAGCCCCCACGGATTGAAAATACGCGTCAACCAGAATGGATTGTGAAGAATTAAATGTCAGTCTCCATAAATTTGTCTCCTGCTATTCCGATGATAGGTGTCTTTATAGATAATTCATAACTGAAGGGATCCCATTACATCCATCATTCTGTCTGCTTGAATCCAAATCCTTCTTACAAAATGATTAAAAATAGATAACACTCACAAAGGAGCCAATGCCATATTTAAAGTAAAAAATTAGTCAAAACATGAAAATGAGCCAATTTGATATTTAAAATCAAACTTAGTCAGTACTCATAAATGGGGCAATGCTATTTTAATTTATCAATCAATCATACTCAAATATTCTATGCTACTTATGGAGTGGTAAACCCTTTCGGGCTGGGCGATTATGATTAAATGTGTTACAAAACCACTGTAACATGACTATGAACAAACCTTGATATATCCTAATTATTATATATATTCACCAATTACTCATGCGATCCTTTTGGTAGGGTACAAAACTCTCTGTTTGGATCAACAACAAATTGTACTCTTTCGTAACTTTTTCACTTCTCATCTTAGAGGTTTCCTTTGATGATGTAATTCATAATTGGTAATATTAATGCTAATATCAAGTGCATAGATATTGTTATTCTCTAATCATTTTGATTGGGGTGCATTGATAGACCCCAAATGATTGAATCATGGGATCTTAATTGAATTTGCCACCACCCCTCAACTCTCAATATGCAAGTTGATCCAAAATAGAGTTTTGTAGCAGATTGAATTGAATCAGAAACAATTTGTACAAATGTTATCATATAGTATGATGACTAGCATTCTTCTCCAGTTATTCGCCTTTAGAACTAATACTTGCAAAGGAAAATAAAAATAAAAATAAAAACTCATTTGGTATGAAAAGTTGAAAATTTTTTGTAAATAAATAGAAACATTATTTGTTTTATTCAATGATTCTCAGTAAGACCTATGATTATAAAGCTGGCTCGAAGTAGCAGAACATGGTGTGATTATTGTGGCAAATGCTATGTTTTACTATATGATTGACAACTATTGTTATTTGAACACTAGATTTTTTTTTTTCCAATAGTGGATGCTGTTCTTCGCCAATATAGCTATAAATTTGGCTTGGAGATCACTCGAAATCTAATTGGATTTTGGCTTGGATCAAACTCAATAAACCAAGTCTAGCCGGAATTGACCTTATGAACTGAGCATATATTTATTAACTTATTTAAACTAAGTTATTGCGTAGACATCCATTCATTTTTATATATGAATTTATATACTCATGAATGTATGATATATGTTAGACTAAGTTATCATATTTCAAATCTATTGAACTTATTGGAGCATTGTTTTGGCTCAAATCAAGATCAAATCCAATGAATATCAGCCTACCTTGAGCCACGATAGGACTGGCTTGATTCCAGGATTTGATCTATTTACTTGGCTTCAATCTTGATAAAAGGTAATTGCTTTGTGCCCATGATTTTGCATTGTTTGCTATTATTTAACCCTGAATGTTTCCTTTAATTACGTTTTAATCTATTACTTTGCAAATTCTTTCTTAATTTTATTCGTCATACCTTGAAACAGTGGAAACTTCATTTGTTTGAGCTTGAACAAGAGCTAAAGATAGAACCTACAATCAAATATGTTCTTTATCAGGTCAGCTCATCCTTCATAATCTAAAGTCTTCTATTTTATAATCATAATGACAACACTTTTTCGCAATCTCAAACTTTTTAATAGGATGATCGGAGCGAAAATTGGCGGGTTCAGGCAGTAGCTGTGTCCCCAGATAAGTTTGAAAGCCGACGTCCGCTTCCGTTGCCATGGAGGGGCCTGAGAGATGATGAACTTTCCAAGGAGTCGGGGATTCATGGATGTGTGTTCGTTCACATGAGTGGATTTATCGGCGGTAATCGGGCTTATGAAGGTGCAAAAGCCATGGCTAGAGCTGCACTCAATTTTCGAAATGAGGAGCTAAATGGAAAACTGTTGTGCCAATAACTTGTTAGTTTTGCTCGGATGCGTAGTGTTTTGGTTGGAAATAAGGTGAAGAAACCTTGCACAAAAAGAAAAGGAATTACCAACATGGTTTTAATTATTTGTAGGAATATTGATCATCAGAACAGAAGTTTAGAGTGGCTGCTTTTTTATTTTGAATTAATATTTTTGTAGAAAATGATTGATTGGAGAGAAATAGAGGCCAGAAGAGAGAGGCTGAGTGGACATAATTTCTGTTTAATTTCATTCTCTAGTTATGTATGGCTTTGCCATTATTACATCCAAAGTAAGTTATGTAGAAACTAGAACATGGTTATTGATGTTGTCAAAGGCTTACAAAATTTGTCTATTTGAAAAGCCTACTGAAATAAAATCTCATTTTATGAATAGTTATTTGAATGTCGTAAGAGAACTTTAGAATGAAGTTAATTCTCCTGGGTCTCTTTTAGAAGTCAAGATGGTCAAATTTAATTTATTATCAAAGATAAAAATAATTATGATTGAAATATTTGTTGTAATATAATTATTAAAGAGTTTAAAAAAATTAATAAAAAGAAAATAATTTTAATTGAACTAATTTTGTATTTAAAGTATTAAATTTTGATATGTTTTACCTCGATGTTTATAAAAATATATTAACTTAAAGGCTAATAGGTTGGGTTGATTCAAATTTGACTTATTAGTTTATTAAGCTCAATTTTTTGGGCCATTAAATGATCGAGATAGAACAACGATGAAAATTTTATTTGAATTTTTAACTCGTTTAAATATCAATTCACTTATCATGGAACAAATCAAATTCACATTGAAAATTTCAAATAAGTCTAGTTTGAACCATGTATGAAAGTTTGACACAAGCTCAAACTGAACATGAATAATTTATAAATGTACCAAACAAAATTCGAACTATGATATACTGGGCTCGATTATATATATATATAAGATAATAAAATTTGAAATAATTCAAAGGATTTTCCATCATATTTATAGTTGAGAGAATTGGGGCTTCTATTTCTAATCTACCCTTCTCTAATAATTATTAATGGTGAGCTTCCTACTTTATCTTCAAGAGAATAATGGTTTAATAACATTAAATATGAGCTTTTTAGACGAATTCAAAATTAAACAATAAAAATAAAAATAATTGGATAAATAACAGGTAATAAATCAAACTCAAGCCAACTTTGACTCGACTGAGTCATATAAATAAAATATTAATATAAATACGCTGATCATAAGTTAAAATTTAAAATGTTATCTTTAATTTATTAAAGCATTTAATATATATATATATTCATATTATATATATCAAACATTTTATTATCATTCATTTTCAAATTATTTAATTTTTTTAATCTATATTAAAAAAATAATTTAAATTAATATTATTTTCTCTTTCTTAATAAATCAGCTCATTAGCCTACTCACAAAGTCATAACATTACACCCAAAATTCATTAATCAATCAAACTTAAGTTCAAGCTTAGGGTGGTTGGCTCAAGCTCAACTCATCTTGTTTATATCCCCACCACAAACAACTACAAACTACCCTATTGAGATATTTATTTCATTGTTAAAAAAAAAGAAATTTGATCAACAAAATGGCACTTAAGAAAACACGATCATGAAGAAAAATTATAACAATAGCAAAAATTTAGAAGATATCGAGTTTCATCACGCAAACATTATGAAAGTGGACAAACTTACGATCCGTTTGGGGCAGCTTTTTTGTTGCGATGACGTTTTGAAAATACACCTGACCTGTTTGGTAAACTGCGTTTTGGCAGCTTATGCGTTTTCAAAAAGTTGAAAACAACGTTTTCACACCGCACCCGCACCTATCTAGGTGTGGTGGCAGCTTTCTAGCAGTAATCTATTTTTTCCAAAAAAATAAAAATTGTAATAACCACCACACCTAACTTATCAGCAGATTATTTTTAATCAGTTTATCAACAGATTGTTCAATAAGCTGCAGTTTCCCCAAACATACCCTTAATATATTTATTAAAGTGTAAATAAGTCAAATCAAATTTGAAGCATAATTAATTTAAACTTGATTAATTAATCAAGTTTAAATTTAAGCTCATAGCTTAATTATATGAATTCATCCTAGCTCAAGAATAAGAAAATAATATAAATTAAAATGAATGTTAAAATAAAACAAAACTTTAAATAAATAATGAAATAAATAATAAAAAAATCACATAATAAAATATAGAAAATTTTAAATTTGAAATCATTCATAAATGAAGATTCATATTTGATATATTTTGAATATTTTTAATATTAATATTTTTTTACATTCAATTTCAGAAGTTCAAGGCCGGTCCAGTCCAAGCACAACTTATTTTCTTGACTAGAATCGAGATTGAACCAATTAGAACCAACTTCTAAAAAACTATTGATTCAATATTATCTAATTTTAATCAATTGCCAGAAATAAAACATTTAAATAAATAAAAAAAGAAGTAAAAAAAAAGTCATGTTCTAATTTTTTATTTATAATATAGTTCAAAATATTCAAAATAAATTTTATATTAAAATATTATTTATTATATCAATAAAAAAAAAGATATTCATATATCATCATTCTATTATTTAAATTATATTAAATTAATTTAAATATTTATTATGTCATCCGATTCAACCTTCCAATTTAACCATGATTAAACAATCAAACATTAAATCTTTCATTCTTTCAACTTTACAACATGATAAAACACAATGTTTGTTTAAGAAATTGTGGTGCATCCCACCAAAATCATTTTATTTACACAACTAGTATCAAGGCTTTTGAAATGAATGAATCCCCTAAGTGATGTTGCATGAGATAAAACTACTAAGCATTTAACAAATCAATATATAAAAAAAAAAGGCAATTGAATTTTAATAACAACATAAGGTCATCATCATCATCAACCTTTTGCCAACAATTTGAGACAAAATTTACAAATCCCTATTAATCATTAACCATTTGACGTCGTCGAATATTTGCTTGAGGTGTAAAAGCCTATTTTTGGTTGAAACATTCTCTTTACACAACTTCCATTCAAGTTCACATAGGACACACCATGCTTATTTATAATTCCTTGGCAAAAAATAAAAAAAAAACAACACCTATCTTCTCTTTACATACCTAAATCACCCACAAGTGTACTTCTCATTGCCTTGTCTTCAATAATGCTGCCTTTATCATGTGCAAGTATGATCACTTTTGTTCAAGTCAAATTCATCCTAATTTTTATCAAACGTCCATTTTAGCCTTCTCCTTTCTATCTGACATAAATTGTCCAAAAAAATCTACTTCAACAGCCAAAACTGCAGAGATTCAGACAACATTATCGGCCTAATTGTAATTTTATTATATTTATTTGTAAATCTTCACGACATTCTATTAAAGGCATGGTGCTTCTCTAAAGCAATTCGTCCTACATTTCACCCAGCTTCAACACCAGAAGTTATATCCTATATACTTCAATAAGAGAATTAAAAGATAAGTAAAGCTACCACAACTCAATACCACTTCATCTTTTAATTACATTGATTACTATTAAGTGAATTATCTTTAAATTAGTTTCTAAATTATTATAACTTCTATTTATTTTAATAAATGTCTCATTCATTAAAAATTATGTTCATCACAACAAGCAAGTACAAAGTCACTCTTTCAATCTCTATTATATAAACATTTCAATGATTAATACAAAATTAATGAAATTAATGGTAAGCCTTAATATAAACCTATCCTAATTTTTTTTTTCTAATCGAAAACTCCTTAATCACTCAATAAATAATTATGATACCAATGAATGCTCCATCATATGCATCTTAATCGCTTATTCATCAGGTAGTTATTTGGCCATATGCCTTTGCAAGATAAATTAAAAAAAAAATCAATGAAAATAGTTTCTACGCACTACAAGACTTTCAGGCAAAAAAATGTCATATTCATAATGCATCTTCTTGACATGATTTCATTTCTATAGCACATAATTTCATTGCATGACTTATAAGTTTAATCCACAATCATTAACATAATCAAAAAATGTCACTAGTGCTCTTAAATGGCAATACCATAATAATCATTTCAAATTAAACTACTTCAATATCAATCAAAACACTTCAAATCTCAAACAGCTAACTCTATGATAAAATAACACATTATTTTGATCACCATGCTCATAAAATTTTTTTTAAAAAAAAGACTATTAAATTTCATCAAGTAAAAATTTCATCTTTTCATGTTTTGTACAGCTTTAATTAATATCTTCCTTACTTTCATTTTTAATATTAACTAAATAATTCAAAATCTATTATCATCTAATTTCTTGTTATATCCAATTAAATATCATTTTTCTTATTCCTTATTATCTATTATGTTATATTGATCAACTCATTGTCATCTCAGCTAAACTTGTCTCTTCCTAAAAATCCTTAAAAACTCTTCTAATTCAGCATTGGCCTAAACACAACAAAGTTACAATGACATCACCAATAATTATATTATAAATAATCATCATATCAATAATTGAATTAACCTTAAAAACATTTTTCTTTCATATATTCATAACAAACAACAGAGCATAAACTGACCTAATGTCTCTAAAATTTCTTCCATTTCCATTGAGTTTCTTACAATCAAGTTATATTAACTCTTCTCCATATCATTTTGTCAACAAATTTAATTGTCTTCTCATGAAAAGTCTCAAATTCAAAACCTAGTCAACATTAGCCAATCTTCACCACAATTGGATTAAATTGCGGCACTGCTTTGAAGCGTCATTCTAACCATTCCTAGCATAATTTTTCACACAACCATAATAGCTTTATAGTCATAACAAATTTGGGGGTTTTCTTGGCACAGTAGAAAGATCATGGCACATCAGTTGTTGGAAATGCCCTAGAACAATTCAAGTGACTGTAATACATATAAGATAGTAAGAAACATCAGAAAAAAAAAACAAGCCTTAGTGTCCAAACATGTACCAATTATCATGATTGAGCTAAAAAAACTCAATAGTAAGACTTCCAACAGAGAAAAATTCAAGGAGAATTTACATACATACCAGCCAATTCCTATGTATTTACATATCTAACAACCAAAGTTTACTTGTAACATGTATACCACCCAATTCTTTCATATCACATCAAAGATATCAACATTTTAATTTTTAAAAAGTGAAATATATTTTTTCATGCATAGCTGAAGTAGCATATATGTAAAAATTGAAGTTTAGATGTTAGATATGTAAATTCATAATAATTAAGTGGTATGTATGTAAGTCTTCCAAAATTTAACATTGGGACTATCAATTGCAATCTTCATAATAGATGGATTTACAATAATATCAGAGTCCACGTGTGGCGAAATAAAGTGGGGAGAGGCAACACGTATATTTAGTCAAATTAAATGAATGGCCAAACAAAACATTTGAAAACCGTTTATTACAATCCAGGCCAGGAACAAATCCACTTCTACCATCCAATATGCAAACCAAATACTATGATAAGGCATTGGCTAACAAAATGTTAGCGAACATCAACAAGATAGTCAAAATTATATTGCCGCGTGACTTCGAAATGCTCATTTCCAAAATTAGAAACCAAGAAGCAGTTGGCATATATGGAAATATTATAGAAGAGATCACATTCAAGAACAAAAAATGAATACCAAAAGTACATTTTTGAAAGATAAATGTGTTTTGGTTAACGCGGAACAGAAGAAGATGAATGAGGTGTCCAATTGCATTCAAATTTAGTTCTAAGTTCAAGTTAATTCCTTCAAATAATTTTTCTCTCCGAACCAAAGACTATAAGTTCTATAAACTTCACAAGATAAATTTCAAGTAAATAGAATGATATGTTGATGGAAAGAAACCACATACACACAAAACCTATATAAGCCGACATCAAACAATGATTTCTTCTAAAAGAATGAATTATCACAAGCACAACGAATTTTGCAGGCTAGAATTCTTTTAGACCAATATGAAGCGCCTTTGTCAGTTCACCTCAGAAATTATTGCTTATAAGCATGAAATATGATGATGGTTTCCAATATCCACATGACAGAGTCATGCAAGCATATAAACAATCCATCCTACCAACTCCATAGTCCATATTTCACAGATAATGCTTAAGAATAAGTGTCACGGAAATTGTCACAAACAGGCAAGCTCGGACAAATATATAGATGCCAAGCAAGAATCCAGACCCAAAAGCTCCCAGACATAAAAAACGCAACTAAATTGAATTGTCGACTAGTTAATCAAACGCAATCGCTGATCATGGATCCTAAATCCACCAGTTATTCACATTGCTATATAAGAGACAAAATTTGTCGAGTTTTATGACTTCAAAACTCCATAATAAATCAAACACTGATTAAGGTAACAGTGAAGAAGTTAACGAACAAACCCTAAATAGGAACATGTCTCTTCAACACCTGTTTCCCTGCCATGGCAACGCCCACCATCAACCCTCCAATCGCCCCAGCAATCGCTGCTGACCTTGGTCCGTTTGCAGCTTTATATAACGCACCAGTACCAAGCCCTGCAATAACGCTATTGATCCAATCATCAGTATCCCTTGCGGCCACCATGCCGCTTTCCATCCCAGCATAAAGAAGTCCGATGACACCGAGCCTGTTACCCATCCTGCGTCCTTCTTGTCCGGAAGAATTCAGGATACGATTTACCCGCAATTTCGCTGTATCCCCAGCTTCGGCGGCGTTAACTCCTTTATAAAGCCCAAGAGAAGCCCCAATGGCGGCGCCACCAAGGTAGCCTATACCGGTGTAGAAGGTAAGATTCTCGCCCCAAGAACGGCGCTGAGCAGTGGATTCTTCCTGGAAAAGGAACTCCGGCGAGGTAGGTAGGTCGTAGATGGCGCGGTAGGGAATTTCAAGGTCCTTGTAGGGATTGTAGAGTCGGCGGCCTGGCTCTTGACGGCGATCAGAATCTTCGCCTCGGCCGAAAATTCTTGGATCAGCCATGGCTATCTCAAACCCTAGCGTCTTGAATCTAGGGTTTTCGCTGAAGAGAGGGGGTTTTGGAGGGGAAGCAAACCTACGAGCCTTTTATAACATGCTCGATTCTCCTAGAATTATATATAATTAGTTGCCCATTCACAACATAAGCAACATGCTTATCTATCACAATTACAGGGTGGATCAGACGGCTCTCATAAGCTCGTGTAGAATGAGCCGGTTTGATTATGTAAAAATAGAAATTTGGCCCGGCCCAAACCCATTGTGATTTAGTTAAAGCCCAGAATAGTCAAACCCGACTTGCCCATACAGCCCCAAAAAAATTCATAATTTATGTACATTGAATACTTATTTCCGAATATTTTAATTTATTTTTTTATATAAAAACACACATGAAAGATGGAAAAAAAAGCTTAGATGTTGGATATAAAAATACATACAAATCAGTCCACAATAGTTCTTAAAAAGATTAAAAAAAAAATGATAGCCAAATAGAACCATGTCGGCTTTCTAGTAAGACAATGAGATAGCAACCAAAAACGAACCCATGAAGAGTTATCTTGGAAGAGCGAAACACCAGTGATGCATTAAAGCATACCATCCAAGCTCAAGTCACCGACTCATCATTATCATGTGACACTATTATATAGGATAATTTGAATTTATGTCAAATGAAACACACACACAATCACATACACAACTAGGGCTGTCAATTTGGCTCGTTGTTCGTGAACAGCTCGTGTTCGGCTTGTTAAACAGCTCGTGTTCGGCTCGTTAAGTAGCTCGTATTCGACTCGTTCGTTAAGCCTAACGAGCCGAACACGAACAA